GCTGCCTTCGGCTCAGGTCAGGATCCCAGGGTTCTGGGATCGAGTCCTGCATCGGGTTCCTTGCTACTCGAGGAGCCTGCTTGTCCTTCTGCCTGCCACTCCCCCTGCTTGTGCTTGCTCTCTCTCCCTCTCTCTCTCTGACAAATAAAATCTTAAAAAAAAAAAAAGAAAATACCCATTTTTTAAACCACTACATAAAAAGGAGACAACTAAAAAGAAATAGATGTCCTTCTAAAATGCTGAAAGAATCGAGAGGCACCTGGGTGGCTCAGTCGGTTAAGCAGCCGACTCTTGATTTTGGCTCAGGTCATGATCTCAGGGTCCTGGGATCGAGCCCCGCGTCGGGCTCCATGCTCAGCATGGAGTCTGCTTGTCCCTCTCCCTTTGCTCCTTCCCCTGCTCTTTCGCACGCTCTCTCCCTCTCTCTCAAACAGATAAATAAATAAAATCTTTAAAAAATAAATAAAATGCTGAAAGAATTGAAAGCAAGATTTAACTGGGAATCTGAGAAAAAGATTTTGCCTCAAATGTTACAACCCTGCTTTGAGACAACAGCAGCTAACCAAAGGGCCTTGTATCTGAATGTCTTATCTGCAAAATGAGGGACGGGAACAACAGTTTCTCATGCTCTTGGTATTAGAGTTGAATCTGAGACTGTGAGACGCGAAGCATTTTCCAGAACACCTTCTAAATTCAGTTAGGCCTCTCCTAACTGTACCCCATGGTCACTCCCTTTGACGGACATATTTCTTTTGTAACTCTCAGAATATAATGAATCCTAGGTGGTTGTTTTATTCCTTTTCTTTTTTCACTTTTGTTTTCTCCTCTTTTCTAAGCGTCTGACATTCCCAACAGGCACAAAAGTGATCCTGCTGGCTTCCTCTCTTGCTCCTGTGCAATTAGATTTAATTTGTGTGCCTTTATAACTTTGTACTTAAGCCCACGGGCTTTCGAACAATGGGCACCCATTCAATAAATCCAAGAAATAAATGACTTGATGATTGTAAGTGCTTTGAACTCAGTGGACAGAAGGCTCTACATAAGTAATATAATAGTAAGGACACAAAAATGTAAGATTAAAAAAAAAAAACCAATCTAAAGCTTTTTTGGAAGCCTAACACACACACACACACACACACACACACACACACACACACACACACACCCCCTCTCTCTCCCTCCAACATCCTTTGTTACACAGCATGCATTTTCCTCATTTGTACTCAGTTCTTAAAATCTCTTCCTCTGTATTTTTTTTTTTTAAGATTTTATTTATTTGCGAGAGAGACAATGAGAGACAGAAAGCATGAGAGGGAGGAGGGTCAGAGGGAGAAGCAGACTCCCTGCTGAGCAGGGAGCCCGATGTGGGACTCGATCCCGGGACTCCAGGATCATGACCTGAGCCGAAGGCAGTCGCTTAACCAACTGAGCCACCCAGGCGCCCCATCTTCCTCTGTATTCTTAGAGACGAAATAACAAATATTTGTAAAGCAAAAATGCTTTAAGGAGTATTTCCTTTGAACCATGGATGTGATGGTGACTGCGAAGCTTACTATCTGATGTTAGAGATGTTTAAATATGTCCTAAAATCTTATGGAAGTAATCCCAGGGCTATGATGGGGCTCTCTGGAGCTTCCTATAACTGGAGTTGTATAAACACACTTTTGATTTTAGTTCTTTCCACTTGGTTTACTAAGCATAACTTAATTTAAAATCTGACATACCGACTTAAATTAATCAGGATATTCAGCTACTATGAAGTTTATTATAATAAATTATTAAAGTACTAAGATAAAACTTGAATTTTAAACAAGCTTAACTCTTACCATCCATCCACATAAAGAACTTCATAAAGTTGGGTATGTTAAGAAATAGAAACAGGGTACCATATTCTAAGGTAAGAAAGGCTGAACAGGAGATTGAGAATAATTAGTTTTATATTATCTTTCTGTCCTAGACTTCAAATTTAAAAATCTAATCTCTAAAAGAATCTTCTCATGATTCATCTAGCTACCTGTCAGCTTATACTATTCAAAATAATTCCCATTTTTACATGCCCAGATACCATCTGTTTTGTCAAATCCAGTAGATATGTTTCAACCTTTATGTCATGCTCAACCCATAGTTGGCTCACCATTTCTTCCTAAGACACACCTACCTGGCACCATGCACGTGGCATTTCCCTGATACCCCCCGTTACAAGCATTTCCTCTTCGATCCAACTTCTGAAGGCTGGAGGCCCCTGAGAGTTCTGGACTGATCCCTCTGTCCTTCTCACACCACTTTCTCTCTCACTGTGCTCTCATTAATTGCTGTGACTCTGAATATCTTATTTGGGTGGACACCACCTGTATTCCCCCTCCAGTGGAGACTTCTTGGGAGTTCTGAGCCACTGTACTGTCATCTCTCACCAGGCTGATTTAACTGGCCCCATTCTCAACTCTGACCTCTTTAGAAAGAATCACTAGTCTAAAACACTTTTTCAAAGGTACATCAGACCAGTTACTCCACTGTTCAAAACCCTTCAACGACTTTATGCCAACTCCTTACAATGAACAGCCCGCCCGCCAGTCCTGACATAGCCTGATAATGACCTATGCCTCCAATCTTACGTAATGCTACTCTCCAAGACATTCTGGCTTGCTTACATTTTGCTGAATAAATAGAACTCTGTCCTCCCGCAGGGCCTTTGAACATGCCGTTTAAAACACTCTACCCCCGGGCGCCTGGGTGGCTCAATCATTGAGCGTCTGCCTTCGGCTCAGGTCATGATCCTAGGGTCCTGGGATCGAGTCCCGCATCGGGCTCCCTGCTCGGCGGGAGGCCTGCTTCTCCCTCTCCCATTCCCCCTGCTTGTGTTACTGCTCTCGCTGTCTCTCTCTCTGTCAAAATAAATGGATAAAATCTAAAAAAAAAAACCACACTCTACCCCCACTCTTATTCTGGTTGACTCTTACTCATCTACCAGGTCTCAGTTAAATTCTCACAAAGCAAATACTCCACCTCCCCAACACCCCAAATTTAAATTAAGACTCTCAAAATTCTCTTGCATTATGTTGCAGTTATTTTCCCTAACCCTACTTATAATGTATTTATTTGCTTGCTAAATGACTGTTTTTTTCCCCTCCACCAGCTCCTGAGGCGGGGCAAGGTCCATTCCTGTTCATTCATCACTGTATACTCAATGTCTGGAGAAAAACATGACATAAATAAAATCATGTATTTTGGATGGATGATGCCCTCCTTGAATATATGCTGTTTCACTTTTGTATTTACTGTATTTAATCCTATGTAAAAACTAATAATAAAGTCATTGATAACAGGACTGTTGTGCTTATTTTCAGATATGGAAATTGAAACTTAAAAAAATTAAGTAATTTCCTTCTATCACATAGCTACTATAAGACAGAGTAGAATTCAAACTCAGGTATGTTTGAGGCCAGAGTCTTGACAAATCTTATTTCTTTTCTTTTACATATCAGTAAGTGTCTCCAAAAGATAAAAATTTTTCTTCAAGGGGCACCCACGTGGCTCAGTCAGTTAAGCATCTGACTCTTGATTTCTGCTCAGGTCACGATCTCAGGATCCTGAGATCAAGCCCTGTGTTAGGCTCCGTGCTCAGCGGGGAGTCTACTTAAGATTCTCTCTCTCCCTCTCCCTCTACCCCTCCCCTCCCCCACACGCAGGCACTCTCTAATAAATACATCTTATATATAATTATATATTTTTAAAAATATAACCATAATGCCACCCTTACACATAAAAAAGTTAATAGTCATCTCTGAAAATTATCAAATACCCAATCTAATCTAATTAGGTAAAAAAAGGGGGGTTGTTCTTTTTTTAAAAAACAGAATGAGGATACAAATAAAATTTTTATAGTGCAAGTGGTCTTTATTAAAGTGTGTTTCTCTCTCTCCGTTTTCATTGCAATTTATTAGTGGAATAAACCATGTTATTTGTCCCATACAGTTTCTTGTAATCTGGATTTTGGTGGTGGCAGTTAAGGGTTCTCTGTTCTGGATATTTCCGGTAAATCAGCAGCTGAATCTAAAGGCTTGATCATATTAGGTTTGATTCTTTTTTTCTTTTAAAGCAAAACTACTTCATAAATGGTGGTGTGTTCTCCATCAGAAGGCACATGATGTCTGGTTGGTTGTTTTTGCAAGTTTAGCAGCCACTCATGCTCAATGTTTAGATGCATTAATTTATTAAGGTTTGCAAAATGGTCATATTCTAATTCTAACTTCTCCCAAAGAGGAACTTTCCCTTATCTATTGTTTTCTTACCATCTTATATAAAAGGCAGGATAAATTCTTTGATCCTTTTAGTGGAAATCTGGTTGCTAAGGATGCTCAATGCTATGTGACTGGGTTGGTCACTGTTTCCATAAGTTCAAAGGACAGAAGTAGAATGACTAGACATAGCTCGAGATATTAAACAAACAAAAATATGAGTCCATATAAATACTTCCTATTCAAGCTAAGATCAAAGGGGTTTTACTCAATCTCTTCTATTTTACATCTGCATATACTGTTCCTGTGCCAAGAATCCAGATTCCCAAGGCAATGGGGGAAGCAAAATTAGAATACCGCACAATTATTTATTTGCTTTATCTCACATTACACACACGTTTCTTGAAATAACAATACCAAGGTTTTTACATAAATATGATTAGCAAAAGTTTAATTATTTTTCAATTGTGTTTTTAAGGTATAGCCTACTAGGTATGAAGAGTCGCTTGGTTGGTTGGTTATGCCACCAACTGGATATATATTTAGGTTTATTTATTCCAATGTATTTCAATGTTAGAGGTTGCTCTTTTAAATTTCCTTTTATAATCATGCTATATGTATAATCACTAATATTCAACTTAACTCTATAGGAGGCACTTTTGTCAATTTAAGAACTACCTATGTAGTTCTTAAGTTAAATCTAAAGAACAGGATTATTCAGAAGCTCGTTTTATCCCTATTGCTTTCCTTCACTCTTATAGGTAGGTGTTCAAAGAGACTTTTTTTTTTTATAGTTTACCTTCCTTTTTTTTTTTTCTTAAAAACTCTACCCCAACGTGGGGCTTGAACTCACGGACCCAAGATCAAGAGTCACATGCTCTACTGACCGAACCAGCCAGGCACCCCCACTGTTTTTTTCAAATATAAACAGATACAAATGGACATCAACAACCTATCCTGAGGATGATTATGTGGTGGCACACAGTTTCATATAGAAATATTTCTCATTCATTTTTACAGCTGCATAGTACGTTATTGTGTGAATGCACCGAAGGTTATTCAACCAGTTATTGTTGATGGAGCTTTAAAGATCAGTTTGGTTGGTTTCAGTATTCTCATATAATTTTATGTTATATTCATATGTATCTAAGTCTTTTCAATAAATAAACTTTTGATATGTGTCTATTTTGTTTGCTTTTTTATATTTTGATTTTTAATCATATTTTTTGGTATTTAGGAAGTTTGTATTTTTATTCTAATGGTAATCTTTATATGAGTAACTTTATATAATTTCTCTTATTTTTTGTCATTTCCTATTGGTTCACTACTATAAGCAATACTGAAATTAGCTAATTAATTTCTTTTACTTCCTACTTCTCTCCCAGGATCTGACCTGAAATAATATCCTTTAACTCCCAGTTAACTATAATCAGCAAGTTTATTCTACTTTTCACATTTCTCCCCATTTTCCTCTCCATATTTTAAGAGTTGTATCCCCATTGTTAGAAATACAGCCTTTACTTACTATACTTGCTCCTTTAGGTGTATTATTTAGTGTTCTACTAATAAAAATGTAGATAATGCTCACCACCAGCCTTTGTGACTGTCCAATCATCGTGGTTGTCTAAAGCTCTTTCTCTATTACAAAGGTTGGCAAACTTTGAACCATGGCCAAATTGTGTTTGTGGCCAATTTTAATACGACCTTTTGAGCTAAGAATGGTTTTTACATTTTTAAAGGGTATACACCAGTAAAAACAAAAACTAAATCTCCATACAAAGATAGGCAACAGAGACTAGCATGTGTCCTACAAAGTCTAAAACATTTATTCTCTGGCTCTTTATCAAAAACCTTTGCTTACCACCACTCAGAGAGAGTAGTGGGAGATGGTCCTTATTAGGAAGGATACAATATTTTGAGTTCCTAGATTTAGTAAGATTGTCTATGTCTGTTATACTTGGAAGTCAGCTTGGTGGGATATAAAACCCCTGGCTCATATGTGCTTTCTTTGAGTATCTTCAATATGTAATTCCATCTTCTTCTGGCCTAAAACACTGCTGTCAAAGTCTATTGATAGTTTGATTTTCTTCCCTTTAAGGTGCCCTGGTCTTTCTGCCTGGCTATCCCTTGATTGCTTTCTCTTTATCTCTGTGTTGGTATTGGTTGTCCAAAGCATAGAGTATGCTCTTTCCACATGCAGTTTTGAGTCTTTTTTCTTCTTCTTAATTTAAGGAAAGTTTTCTTGAAGTATAGCTTTTAGTATTTTTCCTCTTTTTTTAGGGATTCCTATTTTATAGTTGTTGGATCTTTGCCTATATTCTTTAGTCAATGTCTCTCAAAGCCTTTTTCTTTCATTCCTTTTTGCTTTCAAGTTTTTCATCTTTTCACATTCTATTACTCTTAAGCCATTATATTTATTTACTTAGTAAATACTTGGGTATAGCTGACATTTCTAAAATGATTATTTTATTTAGAAAAAAATTATCCCTTTTTTAATAATTCTGATTTATGTTTTTCTGTTTTACCTTTTTTTTTTTTTAAGTAAGCTCTACACCCAACGTGGGGCTCGAACTCACGACCCCGAGATCAAGAGCCACACACTCCACTGACTGAGCCAGCTCGGCACCTGTTTTTTTTTTTTTGTTTTTTAGGCGCCTCTGTTTTATCTTGTGTCATTTTCTTAGTTTCTTTTAGTTATTCTGAAAAGTTATTTAATAGTTTTCATCTATTTTATGGGTACATCACATGCTTTCATTATCAGTACAGATATTCTTGTTCTCCTTATTCTGTTTTATCTTCTACCTTTGCACTGGATTTGACTGACATTTCTCTTTTGCTCATTTCTAATGAAGTTAGTTTTTTTTTTTTTAAAGATTTTATTTATTCGAGAGAGAGAGAGAGAGAGCATGCATGAGCATGGGGGAGGGGCAGAGGGAGAAGTCGACTCCCTGTTGAGCAGGGAGCCCGATGCGGGGCTTGATCCCAGGACCAGGATCATGCATGACCGGAGCCAAAGGCAGACGCCGAACTGACTGAGCTACCCAGGCGCCCCCAAAGTTGGTTTCCTTAACACTTTAGGAGGAAGGAGTGGGTCAAGGTAGCACTTTCTAGTCTCAGGACTCGAGAGCTACCTTTTCTTTGTTTCTGTGAAGTGTTCGTAAATATACCCATGCCCTTTTTGGGATCCCCTGGTTCTCTTCTCCAACCCTACATTTATCTGAACTTTTTCTTTGCTTAGTGTCCCTGACCACCTCTGTGGGCTGTATTTCTAGTAGCTTCACCTCAGTGTGAGGCTTGGTCCTAGAAGAAAGCTACAGCTGTTTAGTTTTAAAAGTTCATAGGGCCCACAGTCTAGAACTCCTTCAGATCTTACAGCAGATGCCTTACACTCAACCATGAATTAGAGAATGCAAAAACCCCTAACAGTTTCAGTTGCTTTTCTCAAACTGGTCTTTCCAGTGAGTCCCTTCTGGCTGTCCTCCTGTTCTCAGATCTCTCAGACATCTCTTTGGGTTCTTCTGGTTCCTCCCACACACACTACAGGGATCTGGTAGCTCTTGGTAGTCTGTACCCACTCTCTTGTATGCGTTCCAACAGTCCTATACAAATCCCTTTCTATCTACCCAGTGTATCCTCATGGAAATAATGGAACCAGAGAATGCTAATGTTAAGGAAATCACACTAAAATATCTACTTCAAGACAGATTTTTTTTTTAAAGATTTATTTATTTATTTTAGAGAGTGAGAGACTGCGTGCGTGTAAGAGCAGAGGAGGGGGAGAGAGAGAATCTCAAGCAGACACCCCGCTGAGCACAGAGCCCAACAGAGGGCTCGATCTCAGGACCCCTGAGATCACAAGCCGAGCTAAAACCAAGAGTTGGTTGCTCAACTGACCGAGCCACCCCAGCCTCCCCTACTTCAAGATATATTTTAAAGGCAAAGAAATCAAGGGTCAGGATGGTGAAATAAGTTGCCCAAGCTCATAGCGAATTAAAGGTAAAAAACACAGAGCGCAGGTCTTCTAATTCCTAGGCTATTGCTCTATCTAAAACTTTTCTGGATTACTCTTCAATCAGCAGTGGTTTAAGATGATTATCAGTATGATCCAGATCATCTCCTTCCCAGCCACAATTTTTTTTTTTAAAGATTTTATTTATTCGAGATAGAGGCTCCTGCCTCAAGCCCTCTGTACTCCCTGTTCCATCTTGCTAGAACATGTCTTCTGCATAGCCACATTACTTGTCTTTGCTCAAATGTTACCTTGTCTTTTTTAAGATCTTATTTATTTATTTTACGGAGAGAGAGAAGAAGGGAGAGAGAGAACAAGTAGGGGGAGCAGCAGAGGGAGAGGGAGAAGCAGGCTCCCCACTGAGCAGGGAGCCTGATGTGGGGCTCCCCGCTGGGCAGGTTCCTGGGATCATGACCCGAGCCGAAGGCAGATGCTTACCAACTGAGTCATCCAGGCGCCCCAAATGTTACCTTCTCAATGAGGCAAGCACTTCACTGTCCACCCATTTACACTACTAACTTCCCATTGCCAGCACTCTCCATCCCTTCATCCTGCTTCATTTTCCCATGGGACCTTCTAACATTTCATTCATTCATTCACCTGTGCAGGCAGTCATTATACATCTCTCTTCATTAGAACATAGCTTCACGAGGGCAGAGATTTTTATCTTTCCTGATATCTTCACAGGGCAGAGAGAAGTACCTAAAAAAAGTAGTAGCTAACAACATGTGCGATGAAAGAATAATGAATTTCAAGAACCATATGGAGTTTGTTTATGCATGCATTACTCTTTAGTAACTGTTACTACTAACTGTTAACCTGGGGAATATTAGTAATGATATGATGGAGCATTCACAATGGGTATGGGAAATTTAGTACTTGGAACTGGTTAATGAGCAGAAGCACTACTCATAATGAAACAGAAGTTACTCTTACTCTTATCTGAATTAATGACCAGTATGAAACAACTTCATAAGAGAAATGGTCCTTAATTATTAAAGGCTCAGTACCTTTTAGCCTTAGAATATGACCCTAAAAAGGATGTCATTAATTCAATCACTAGGGCGCCTGGGTGGCTCAGTCGGTTAAGCGACTGCCTTCGGCTCAGGTCATGATCCTGGAGTCCCGGGATCGAGTCCCACATCAGGCTCCCTGCTCGGCGGGGAGTCTGCTTCTCCCTCTGACCCTCCTCCCTCTCATGCTCTCTGTCTCTCATTCTCTCTCTCTCAAATAAATAAAAAAAAATCTTTAAAAAAAATAAATAAATAAAAAATAAAAATAAAATTCAATCACTAAAACGGTCAGCTGGCATTGCACATTCCAGGAAAAAAGATAGGTTTGAGAGCAACACAATACTCTCCTCATGACCTCAATCAAAATGCAAACTTGAGGTCACAGGAGATACCAAGTGAAAGATTACAGGGGCCTCACATGAGTGAAAATAATTAACCATGCCCCATTGATTATTAAACAAACATGCTAAGTAATTTCATTTCCCTGGTGCCAAGTACATCTAAGGACTGAATTTAGTTCTTATAGGTCAACTTTCCAAAAATACTACTTTGCAGTATTACCAAATGAAGAAAACCAACACATTCCAATCATGAAAAAGCCTCTAACAACGGTCAAAGCCCAAATTAACTTGCCTTTCTACTTCCCTACAGGTACCATTTCTCATGACTGAGATCTCCAAATTCACATCTCAAAAACTCAAGTAATCCATGAATAAATTAATAAATAATTTAGGCTCAACTCTCTCTGGTGTTAATGGAATCTTCTAATAGTTGAAGTCTAGATAAACTCTGACACTTTCATGTCCGTCCTTCCATTTGTAAGGTGATCCTCAAATGTTCCTGTGAGGATTCTTAAGAATTTACCAGAAATCCATGAAATTTCTAGAAAAACAGGCAGAGCTGAATTCTCAAATATAATTTGTTTCCATAAATTTAATCAACTAAGGAAAGAGTTGAATTTCCACTCATACAATGAGCAAGATTACTGGTTTTTTGGGGTCTTATTTAGAGAAACAAAAATAAAGTGCCATTTATAAAACATTTGCAGCTTTGACTATAATCAACTGTAATAATAAGATACCAGCTCAAAAAAATTCTTTTCATTTAAACCTCTTTTGTAATACTGCTTTTTAATAACCCTCATAATAGCCGAATTAAAGGACCCCAACAGAAATCATTCATCCCACATAAAACAAACATTGCCTTTTCTTCTTAGCTTTGTTTTACAAGCTACATTATTTCCAGATGACGCTTGAGGGGACTATGGTTTCAAGAATTAGATGCTTAAATAGACAGCTGCTTTCTATTTGCCATGTAAATCAAGGATATATCAAAGAAAATTCCAAATAGTAGACTTCTTTTCTTCCTATTCGGAACTACCAATTCAAGCAGAAAGGAGAAGTAGAGAAAAACAATAAAAATCTGAGCAAACAGAAAATTAGAATTAGGATTTCTTAAATAGATAAAAGAAAATTTGGAGACTTGCCAGCAAAAGGTATTTTCATATAAGCTCTGCACAGCAGCAGGTGAGAATTTTTTCAGTACAACGGGAAGGGGAAAACACCGTGATCACTGATTTTTCCAAATCTATCACACAGGGCTACTGAACTTAATATGCATGGGTTTTCTGTACTCTTTATACTTTGCTTAGAAAGTTAATTAATCATTGCCAGATTTCAATGCAAATGCATCGCATTTCCTTTTATAAGCCAGAGGAAAGAACATAGGAGTTATTTAAGTATTTTTGATGATAATTTTTCTTAAAAAATCCTTAAAAAGAATATTCTACCATACTCCTTAAGAACAAGACAGGAATAAAGAAATGGCAATAATCTTTCCCTCAATGGAGTTGTGCTTTTTAAGAATGAAGATTTTTTTTTTTTTAAACAAGAGGGGAGTCCTCCAACTAAATATTGTCCTTAGAATCCTAAGAACATTTCTGAAACTTGCAGTTCAGAAGTGTATCCAAAGCCAAGTTATAATACAACCAAGAAAACCAGTCTGATTATGTTAAAGTCAGGCCCAGTTTATAATTAAAGTGGTGGTGGCAGGGGAGGTTGCTCACTTGCTAGAGGCTTTATTTATTTGAATTTTAAAATCAATTGTACTTAGGAAGAAACTTCCTAGGACCTAATCAGTGTGAGGCTTAAGATCTATATGAGATCAAAACAGTTGTTTCTTTCTTTCCTTTTCTTTTTTCTAAGATTTTATTTATTTATTTGCCAGAGAGAGAGCACAAGCAGAGGGAGCAGCAGAGGGAGAGGGAGAAGTAGGCTCTCCGCTGAGGCAGAGCCTGATGTGGGGCTCGATCCCAGGACCCTGGGATCATGACCTGAGCCAAAGGCAGACGCTTAACTGAGCCACCCAGGCGCTCCAAAGTAGTTGTTTCTTTTAGAGATGTTCACCAACCTTATTTAGAAGACTTGGCTTTCTATTTTTTTTTTTTAACAGCAGTTTCTACATTATGAAGTAACTATAAAGATCTTAATTCAAATTTCATGATCCTCCTTGAAGATCTGGCTGATCCTAGAGCTGGAGCAGGGGAAATACCTGATGAGTTAGAACATCCTGAGGGTCTCAAAGGTGTAAAAAAAAAAAAAAAAAAAAAAAAAGGTTGGAGTATATTCAAAGGGCAGGGGAGATACCTCGAAAGAGCTCCCAATGGCCAAAGTTGGAATAACCTGAACAAGAAAACAATAGCCCTGGGTTACAAGACAAAGAATAAAATTATTATCTATGAGTCCATACAGATATAAATAACTGCATAAATAAATACACTGAGGAGAAGTGACAGATCTTCCTTGCAGAAGTGCTCGATAAATGTAGAAGGAATGGGACAAATAGAAAATCACAAATAAATCAGTAATATATAATGAGGACAAGATCAATGGAGGCAAAATTTGTGGGAAAATGTTTAAGCAGAAACAGGATACTGGCATAGTCTCAAAATATCTCCCCCAAACATACAGTAATTACAAAGGGAAAATTAGCACGTTTATAGTAAAGAATCTTAGCAGACATCACCCCGGTGAAGTGGTCAAGGAAAACGTTTATGTAAACACCACCAGTAACACACACTGACGTCATGTGTTCCCTGACATGATGCACTGAGAAGGGCAAGTCACCTCTGTGGTTCCCTGCTCAGCAATTCAGAACGTCCATCTAATCAGGACAAAATGCCAGACAAATCCAAATCAAGGTATGTTCTACAAAATAAGCAATACTCTTCACAAATGTTAAGGTCGTGAAAGACAAGTCAAGACTCAGGAGACAGGACAGCAAAATGCAACGTGTGATTCTGGCCTGAATCCTAGCAAAGAATAAGGGCATTAGGGATAAAACTGGAAACTGTGCATGAGATTTGTACTTTAGTCAGTAGTATGGTACCAAGGTTAATTTCCTAGTTTTGATCAATGGTCTGTGGTTATGTAAGATACTGACAAAAGGGAAAGCTGGGGGAAGGGTATATGGAAATTTCTTAGATCTCTTCTGTAAGTCTAAAGTTATCTGAAAATAGTAAAGGAAGGGGGCACCTGGGTGGCTTAGTCCGTTAAGCAGCCGATTCTTGATTTTGGCTCAGGTCATATGATCTCAGGGTTGTGAGATCCAGCTGCATGTCAGGCTCCGTGCTCATCAGGGAGTCTGCTTGGGTTTCTCCCTCTCCCTCTGCCCCTCCTCCCCAACCCCACTCACTCTTTCTCAAATAAATAAATTTTTTAAAAAATTAGTAAAGGAAGAAAAGAAAGGAGGAAGGAGGGAAGGAAAGGAAAAGTAAGTTATGGGTGTCCTTGGCAAAAATTCCAAGATCTGGACCTGTAAAGAAAAGTATAACGTAAAAAGTATAAGTTCTCTTCCCCTGAGGGCCTTCAGTTTGACTCCCCACAGGTAACTATTTACTAGTTTCCTATGCATTTTTCCAGGATAACTAAATGCCTATTTTTAAACATACATGTATGTATAACCTATACACTATAAAGTTTTCTGTTTTTTTTTTTTTTTTTTTTAGTGATTTAAGTGTTATAGTTCATATAAGCCCATATGGCTTGAATTCACTTTTTATAAAAAATGGCTGCAGAATAGTGGACTGGATGAATTTATACTTTATCTAATCAGTCCTCTATTGATGGGTATTTTGCTTGTTTTGTACTTTTTTGTTCATAAGCCAGGCTGAAAAATACACACCTTTATGCAGTTGCATATCTAACTGACTTGCTCACTTGCTAGAGGCTTTAGTCAAATCACTGCTCAAGAAACATTTTCTCTCCTCGAAAATATTAACTATTTCAAAGTATGAACTTTATTCTCATACAGTCATCCTCATGCCACACTGCCAGCCAAGCTGGTATCTATCTATTACTAATATTCAACAAACAGTTCTTTTCTCCTAGTGCTCCAAGCACTGCCTTTTTTTTTTATTTAAGCACTACTTTTTTTTTTTTAAAGATTTTATTTATTTATTCATGAGAGACAGAGAGAGAGAGAGAGAGAGAGAGAAGCAGAGGGAGAAGGAGGCTCCCCGCTGAGCCAGGAGCCCGATGCGGGACTCGATCCCAGGACCCCGGGATCATGACCTGAGCCGAAGGCAGACGCTTAACCATCTGAGCCACCCAGGCGCCCTAAGCACTACTTTTTTTAAAACGGCTTCATCAAGATAAAATTCACACAACATATATTTCACTGATTTCAAGTGTACAATTCAATGGTGTTAGTATATTCAGAGAGTTGTGCAACCTCACCGCTACCTAGTCTTAAAGCGTCTTCATCATCCGCAAACGAAACCTGTACTCGTCAGCAGTCACTCCTCATTCCGCTTCACGCCCCCGTCCGACCCATCTGCGATCTGTCTCTGTAAGATGTGCCTACTCTGGACCTTTCATATAAATGACATGCAGCCTTTTGTTACTGGCTTCTTTAACTTAGTGTAACATTTTCAAGGCTCATCCATGTTGAAGCTCGTATCATTACTTCGTCCCCTTTTATTGTTCAGTAATATTCCACTGTATGGATAGCCACCTTGGATTTGTCCATTTAGTTGATGGACATTTGGACTGTCACCCTTTTTTGGCTATTAGGAATAAAGGTGCTATGAATAATCACGTTTTACATGGACTTCTGTTCTCAATTCTTTGGGAGTATTACCATATGCTGGTCATATGGTTATTTCACCTTTAGCTTTCTGAGGGACTGCAGGTTGTTTTCCAAAACAGCTGCACAATTTTACATTTTTACCATGGGCTGAATGAGAATACTAATTTCTGCACCCTCTCACCAACACTTGTGATTTTCTGCCTTTTGATGACAGTCATCTTGGTGGTGTAAACTTCACTGCGGCTGAAATTTGCACTTCCTGACCATGATGTTGAGCATCTTTCGATGTGCTTATTGGTCACTTGTATTGTCTGCTTTGGAGAAATGTCTATTCTGATCCTTTGCCCATTTTCTTTTTTAATGTAGTAAAAGCTTTACTGCTCTCTTGCACCACAGTCCAACAGGGTACCCAGCCGGCTTTCATTGAGAGGATTCAGAGGCCCATGCACTGCCATACTGTGGGACCCTGGAGTCTCACACCAGATTTCCTGCATCCAGCTAGCATGCGATGAGAGAGATGTGGAAGATGGCACGGGGGTGGGGGTGGTGACATCACTTCCACCTATATCCCACTGGATAGAGCTAGTCTGATGCTCCTGCACCTCGCCAGATGCGAGCATGACGGAAAATAGTGCTTAGCTGTGTAATCAGGCAGAGGAGATGGGATTGGTGAGCATCCCAATCACTGCCTCACCCAAGGCCTAGTGGGATGTCTGGCAGTCAGGAAAACTGGCTGACCAACTAGAAAAATGCCAACATGAGCCACTCCTTTGCTCTTGGTGGTCACTCTGGGTTGGTTCATCTCAGGGGCTCTTGGACACCCTCAGCCCTGGTATATTTCTAAGATCAGGGAGCATGCTGAAAAGTGAGGGCCCCCCTTCAGAGTTGAGATTCATCCTTTGGTGCCAAATAACTACTGAGGTGTTCCCAGACAGATTAAAGATTCTTCCTGATGTCACTGCTCAACTATGGTCAGTTCCTGGTGGCTCCCGTTAGCTCTCCCCCTTCACCTGATGTCATACCTCTCCTGCAGGAAGTTTTCCCCGTCACCCAAGGGCACGGAGACATCTCCATCTTCTGAACCGACTCCTGTTGTCCCAGAATCTCTCTCCCAAACACGAACTGCACAGCATAACTGTAGTAGCTAAAACTTACTAAACACCTGCTGTGTGCCAAGGATCCTACCTGGACTCATTCATTTAATCCTGACAACAACCCTGGGTTGTAGGTTCTACTGTCACTCCCGTTTTGCAGATGAGACAATTGAGGCCTGGAGAGGCAAAACGACCTGCCCGAGGCCGGACAGCTATGTAAGATACATAAGCTACAGAACCAGGTTACACGACATTCACCCCTTTTTTAAGAACTGGACTATTTGTCTTTTTTGTGACTGAGCTGTTAAGAATTCTTTACATATTCTAAATACTAAGTAGTCCCTTATCGGCTATAAGATTTGCAAATATTTTCTCCCATCCTGTGGGCTTTCCTTTCACTTTCTTGATGGTGGCCTTTGAAGCCCAAGAGTTTTAAATTTTGATGAAGTCTAATTTGTCTGTCTTTATTTTGTTGCCAAAGATTTACTCCTATATTTTCTTCTAAGTATTGTACAGTATTTGCTCTTCTATTTAAGGGCTATGGTCCACTCTGAGTTAATTTTTGTGTATGGTGTAAGCACCTGTTACATGCCAGACATTGTGCTGAACACGAGAAACCCAAGGGCGATGATGTGCTGTTTTTACCTCTATGCCCTTATTCAAGAAGCATAACCCTGGACTGTTTTCCCACCTCAATCTCTCCTTTCAAAATACTACCTGGCTCGAATTGCAACTCCTTTCCATGAAACCTGGCACCATTCTTTCCCTACTTCCCCCAAATTGTTCTCTCCCTCTTCTGACAACCCACAAGTTTGGTTACAACCCTCTTATAAAACTCAACATATGGAATTGTATTTAACTAGCCACTGAGAATCGCTGTGTACAGGAGCTAGGCCACCTTTATTTTTACCTCTCACCATGCTAAAGTAATTCCAAAACAGAAGTTTTAGCAACATCCTGATTAATGTCACTATCACCGGAATAAACACCCAAAAGTAATTCCTTCAAAAGTAACAACATCTAAAAGGAACAGTTTTAACAATGGCAAATTTCATCGTTTCCAACCCCTTGGATATGGCAGCTCATTACAGATAACCATTCTCATGTTCTAGCAATGTTAAATTCTCTATCCCAGCCTCTATATCCCACAGGAAAATCTGCAAGTGACAGTCTCATCCAGAACCAACACTACGAAATACAAGTATTATGTAGTATGTATGTGTATTTATGACTGTGTATGTGAAAGGAAGTATTTTAACATTATCTCAGTAAAGGCACAAATGTATAAAACAAACAGCTGAAGATATTTTTCAAGATTACCTAGAAACTCTTTCGGTCAAATGAATTTGAGATTTGAGTTAAAGAGTAAATACTAACAAGGAATCGTAAAAATATAATGACCTAAGATACATGGGAGAAAAATAGAAAAATCCCTGAATTTAAGTTTTCTTGTTATGTGGAATCAGTTCAGAATACCTTGTAACATATTTCTGAAGAAATGAAATGTCTAAAAGCAAATATAAACAAGAGCCAAAAGACTATGAATAAGAGTTATTGGCTCAGGGGGCACCTGGGTGGCTCAGTCAGTTAAGCATCAGACTGTTGATTTCAGCTCAGGTCATGAGCTCAGGGTTGTGGGATCAAGCCCTGTGTAGGGCTCTGCACTCAGCGGGGAGTCTGCTTGGGATTCTCTCTCTCTCCCTCTTCCTCTACCCCTCCCCCCCATTCGCTCGTTCGTGTGCTCTCTCTCTCCAAAATAAATAAATAGATCTTAAGAGTTATTGGTTCAAAAGGTAAGTCAAATGACATACTCCAGGGTTAGCAATATTTCAGGATTCCATGCAGAATGACAAGCAATCAAGACTTGATCAAAACAAATTTCAAATACATGGAGTTTGCTCTTTAGGAAGTTAAAATTTAAGATCGCAAGTTATTAGATCAAATAGAGGCTGAACAACCTTTTTTTTTTTTTTTTAAAGATTTTATTTATTTGACAGATAGAGACATAGTGAGAGAGGGAACACAAGCAGGGGGAGCAGGAGAGGGAGTAGCAGGCTTCCCGCCGAACAGGGAGCCCGATGCGGGGGCTCGATCCCAGGACCCTGGGATCATGACCTGAGCCGAAGGCAGACACTTAATGACTGAGTCACCCAGGCGCCCCTGAACAACCTGTTTTATGTGTACTGAACTAAAAGAAAGAATACAACAACTACTCTTTGAATAGGAAAGAAGCAATTTTAACATTTTACTTATTTATTTTTTTGGATTTGTTTCATATTTAATACTTAAGTGCTGAAAATGATAGAAACTTTTTCTTTCTTAATGAAAAGAAATAGGTAACTTTGTAAAAGTCAGAAAATGCCAGTGTCCCTTTGATTCCACCCTAGATTTTTCTGCTGTCAGCTGGATCCAGCATAAACAGTGCAGGATGCATTTCTGAACTCCAGGTATTTGAACGTAGAACACACGATTGCATATATTAATAATTAACAGCACATTCTAAAGGGTTTCATCTCACTCTGAACACAGCTATTTCCTCCTGCCCTGGGGCCAATATTAAGAGAAAGTCAACATATTTACAAACAAGATTTAATAATGTTCACAAGAATAGAGTTTGCCCTCAAATAGGGAAACCACACATTGTTTTGTTTCAAAAGGTTAAAAATGCGGTGCCTGAAAAATCCAGCAGGTAAGCAGCAGGGCTAATAGAGTCTGTTTTTGGAATGGTCTGCTAGCAAATAAGCAAACTTCTGTCCAGGAAGCGTTTTGTTGGGGTCGGGGGAGGGGTATGGAAGGGACAGCACTATTTACATCCCATTCCGCACTTCTCCCTTCCGCCACCCTTAGTACCGTCTGTTCATCTTCTTGAACTTCTCATAGTGATAGTTGTCGGTGGCCTTCTCGTTAGCAGGACGCTTGCGGTTAGAAGGGGATCGCTCAGGCTCTGGCTTCTCCATGTCACCCACTCTTAAGGGTCGGGCTTTGGGCTCTTTTTTGTTTCTCTCTATGGGGGCATTGAGCTCCTTGTGATAAAATCAGTTGTGCTGCACGTAATTCACGGCCATGTTCATGGGCACGAAAGATGTCTCACTGTTTTTCCTCTTGTTCTGCTGCTCTGCCAGGAGACGGGCCTTGGCATCCTCCATGGAAATGATATTTTTTATTTTAGCATCGATGCCTAGGTCCACCTCGGGGATGCCGCTCAGCATCTGGTTGGAAAGCATCTCTTTGGTCTTCTTTGCTGAGGAAACACGGATGTTTTCAGGAAGTTCGTAAAGACAGTCCTCTGCATTCTTCGGCTTGACTTTCTGTTCCTCGTGTTCTACAATCCCTTTCCTCTTCTTCAGCTCTGTCTCAATGTACTTCATCATGTCAGCATCCTCATCCCTTCGGTTGGTTTCTGCAGAAAATGATGTCTGCAGGTGGAGGTTTTCCTCTTCGCTGATCTTATTTTTGCCTCTTTCCTTCAGTTTCTTCATGTCCACCACACTGCCCTGTCTTCATCTGAAGGGGATCATCCCCTAGGGTGGTCTCTTCTTGTACCTTCTCTCCCACCAGCAGGGCCACAGCACTCACCCCATTGGGCTTCTTCCTCAAGTTTTGCACCTCGCGGGTCTCTTCTAGTTTTAATCGAACCTCCTCTGATTCCTGCTCATCTTCCTCCAACTCTGAGTTGGCCGGGCGCTGGCAGAAACTCTTGCCAGTGACCGGCATGGTTGCGCTGGCCCCGCGGTCCGGCCGCCGGGTCCCTGTACAGTGGCCGGGGCTGCTTCTGGCGCCTTAACATTTTATTTTTTAAGTAATCTCTACACCCACTATGGGGCTCAAACTCATGACCTCGAGATCAAGAGTCACACTGACTGAGCCAGCCAGGTGCCCCAGAAAAGAATCAATTCTGACATAAAGATCATGCACAAATTAATGAGAAAATATATAATTTAGCTTAAAAATTACACACATCGGGGCGCCTGGGTGGCTCAGTTGTTAAGCGTCTGCTTTCAGCTCAGGTCGTGATCCCAGGGTCCTGGGATCGAGCCCCGCATCGGGGTCCCTGCTCAGTGGGAAACCTGCTTCTCCCTCTCCCACACCCCTCTTGCTGTGTCTCTCTCTGTGTCAAATAAATAAATAAAATCTTTAAAAAAAAATTACACATGTCCACTACATGTTAGAAACTAATCATTTTTGACTAACGAAACAACCAAACCATTCAAATTAAATGTCATACAGATAAAATTTAGATCTGAAACTCCTTTGAAATTTTGGATGCCTCCAAGAGCATGCAAATGTGTGGAGATGGAGCTTCATCCTCATCAATTAACTGGTTAACATTTAGCTTACTTTTTTCAGCCTAAGATACAAAAGACTCATGCCTTCAAAGTGCACTCAATCCCACCGGGAGAAAAGAATATCACAGATGAAACAATTACAGGATATAAAACAGCAGATATTTACTTGTTCCTTCTGCGTGTGTGTGCATGTGTGCATGTCTGTGTGAGTGTGCCTGTGTGTGTGTGTGTGTAAGAGATCATATATTCCATGGTTCTGAAGTATTCTGATCTCAAGATGTTTTATATTCTTAGAAATCTCTGATACTCTCAAACAACTTTTTTTTTTTTAAGATTTTATTTATTTGACAGAGAGAGAGAGAACACAAGCAGGCAGAGCAGCAGACAGAGGGAGAGGGAGAAGCAGGTTCCCCGCCGAGCAGGGAGCCCGACGGACGCAGGGCTCGATCCCAGGACCCTGGGATTATAAACTGAGCTGAAGACAGCCGCCCAACCAAATGAGCCACCCAGGTGTCCCTCAAAAAACTATTTTTATGTAGATTATAGGTATTGATATTTATCATATTATAAATTAAAACTAAGAATAATTTATTTTTTTTAAAGATTTTATTTATTTATTTGACAGAGAGAGAGACACAGTGAGAGAGGGAACACAAGCAGGGGGAGTGGGAGAAGGAGAAGCAGGCTTCTTGCTGAGCAGGGAGCCCGATGTGGGGCTCAATCCCAGGACCCTGGGATCATGACCTGAGCCAAAGGCAGACGCTTAACAACTGAGCCACCCAGGCATCCCAAGACTAAGAATTATTTAAAACACAAGAATACAGGGCGCCTGGGTGGCTCAGTTGGTTAAGCGACTGCCTCTGGCTCAGGTCATGACCCTGGAGTCCCAGGATCGAGTCCCGCATCGGGCTCCCTGCTCGGCAGGGAGTCTGCTTCTCCCTCTGACCCTCCTCCCTCTCATGCTCTCTGTCTCTCATTCTCTCTCTCTCAAATAAATAAATCTTTAAAAAAATAAAATAAAATAAAACACAAAAATACAGAAGTACACATTCTGTGAGCGGCCAGTGAAATGATCACTCATCATGAAGCCTCTGGACAACTCTACTGTACAGTCATGAGTAAAGGAAAGTAAAAAATGAGAACCCTGAGAACTACTGGAATGTGTGTGTGCATGTGTGTTGGTTAGTAACATTATACTTGCTTAGCATTCAATGATAAACTCTTAGCTGCTATTTATACTTCAGCTGATTTTTCTGATTCTGTCTCCTTAATCTTTTTGGCTGGGTCCTTTTGGCTTATAACCTTGCAATTACTGTTTAAAATTAGATGGCAGAGTCAGTCCTACAGAAAGGTTCCCCGTGTTGGTTGATGATCAAAGGATAATATAATCTGGTTCCTTATGGTTCTACCTAGAATAAGAGTTAGATTCTTCTTATCCCAAATAGTTGCTAAAATGACTGTCAGAAATTAGGGGGGAAAAGCTTATAGGACACTGTAACAATATTCATAATTTAAAAACCACAGTTATAGTTTAAAAAGCAACTATAATTCATTTGTTATCTTTGTTTCACCTTATATATTCGGGTCTGTCATACATGACCCAAGTGGTTTCATTTAAAAAAAAAAAAAAAAAGTTGAAAGATTCTCCTTTAACAATTCTCCCCTGTCCCTTTAGTCACTGAATTCACTTTTAGGAAACCCTAAAGACAGCAAAGCCCAGCCACGTGGCCAGCTGAACCGCACATGCTTTCCCAGCCGTCTTCACTGCCCCTGGAGAGAGGCTGCAGAACCAGCTCTCCCTCTCTGTACTCAGCATTCTCTCTCCCCAAAGAGGACTTGAGTGCAATTTTTATTGTATTTCCTCTTCAGCAGCCAGGGCAGTCTCCTCATTATCTAGAACTTGGTGGAAGGCTTCAGGTCTCCCCTGAGCTGTTCCGACAAACAAGGTTGTACTGAAGTATGAACACTCATGTTTTTATAACTTGCTATTTGTTTTCTGTGTTGTTATTCAGCGGACTTGTTAATTATACAGTATAACGAGAATAAACGTTTTCTTAATAAACTCAGAAACCTCTAGGCAGACTGAAAGTACTCTTATTTATTACAGAGAGAAGGAGAACACATTCCTATTTTTGAGCGCTTATTCGAACTCGCTCAATTCTGGTGTGAAAGCACGGCCACGGCTCGGATAGAAGGGAGCCATTAGGCTAACAGGGACCCACTTTCCTTTTCCACCTTTTACAAACACGTGGTCTACAGCATGAGTGCAGGACACAGAGAATTATGTGGCTGTTGGCAGAGACATTTAATTAATATTTCCAGGGAGGGAAAAAGGGAGAAACCTTTTGTTTTCCCAGTTAATGACCAATTTAAAGGCGAATGACGGTGAGAACATGGTTTCAAATAAGCAGATCACTCAGAGTGTTTTGCACGGTGGGAACGCCCAGCGAACACACTCAGTTACTATCAAAGAACACACTGCAGTGCTGACTTAAGGCTGCTGTGGCGTTTCTGGTCACCGTGCAGCCGAGGGGCAGGGGGGACCCTGCTGCCGTCATTACTACTGAATAGGGGTGACCCACCCTCCACAGTGAACTCTGAGGAAAGGCAGGAAAACTGAAGTTCATAAACCCATCTGGAGTACACTGTGATTTGGAAAGTCTCACACACACAAATGGTAAAATAAGGACTGTCAAGGACAGATTCTAAGTGGAATCTTCCCTGTATTTCTATGAAGCGGATACCTTAGGAAATTCATTTTTACTTAGTGAAAATTTCATGCAAGAACAAGTCAGCAACTCTAAAAACTGTCAGATTCAATAGAATTGGTATGTCTGTTAGGAGTTCAACCTGTCCTTTCATGATTGGCAAATACCATTAAATATGATCCATTTTCTCAAAGACATAGTGATTTTCTGGTCTCTGATTACAGAAGAATGCTGAGAGCACAACCTCAACACTAAATACATTCGACACATTTTTGTGGAAGAAATGACATAGGAGTGCTGTGTAAGCAAATGGTAACTGTATAAAAATAAAACATTTATAGAGGAATTCAAGTTTTTTTTTCTTTCTTATTTATTTTTTTTATAGAGGGAGGGGTAGAGGGAGAGAGAATCTTAAGCAGGCTCCAGCCCCAACACAGAGCTGGATGCAGGGCTCAGTCTCACAATCCTGAGATCATGACCTGAGCCAAAATCAAGATTTGGACACTTAACTGACTGAGTCCCCCAGGCGTCCCTGCATTCAAGTTCTTAATAAACGCAATCCCCACGGCCACTCAGAGGCCCCAACTGAGGCTTCCAAGGAGTGATTAGGAAGAAATATTGTTCTTATAACAAGTTATGGCTCAGATAGAAGTGAGCTATTATGCTATTTTTTTAAAACGTTGAGAATATCCAATTAGCAGGAAAATCATAAAAGATACTTTTTTTTTTCTTTTTGTAAAAGAGAAGTACTATGGAATTACAAACTTAATACCTTAATGGGAATGACAGATCATCACATTACACACATACACAAAATAAATAAAAGAGAAGAAAAATAGCACGAGTCGGGTTGTGGCTGCACCCAGCTATCTCTGTTTATCAGCGACTGCTATCCGGACTGGGGGCTGTTCCCACAGTCTCGTATCAGCACAGCCATTTAGAAATGAAACAAACCACAGGAAACAAAACAACTCGCCGGCTGTCTGGTATGCATCAACCACTTCAAACTCTGAACTTAAAAATTCTCTCATGAAGTTTCTAAGTATCAACCCACTGAGAGTTGTTGTCCTTATTAGAACTCGATGGACTACTTCTGTGGTCTATGACAAGATAATTTTTAGCATCCTCATCTAAGCCATGTTCCAAAATATAAGGAATGTCACGGATAGCGGCACTGCCCTACAGGTATTCCTAATATTCTCCTTCCTGTTATTCTATAATGCTCATCCCTGTGCCGCTCCCATTCTCCCATGCCGTCATTCTCGGAGGTTAGGGGAGAATAGGCTCTTCATCTTTAAAGTGGATGAAACCAAGGCAACACACAAGTGCTGTCCTCCAGTGACCACGGCTCACAGGACCAGAGCTGAGCAGAGCCAATTAGATCTCTCTCCCAGGAACGGAGAATTGGGACTTCAAGACTCTGGTCAGGCGGCTAAAGACACGACACTCACAGGGAGGGAGGAAGGCTGGAGTGACTATGTTAGGTCCAAGTCAGCAAAAAGGGAAATCTGGCCAATAGGGAATAGCTCAAGAGTAAAACGGAAGCAAAAGGAAGCAGAGTCTAAAAATTAAACAGCCTCAGAAAGACAAGATATTCTTGAATCCAAAGGCTTTTTCAATTTCAGGTTCTGGTTCTCTGTGAAATCCAGCCTCTGTACCTCTGCCCCTTGAGATCAGTGAGAAACCTCTGCATATTTTCTGTAAGACCGCTTCTTTTGCTTCTGTGTAATTAGTTTGAGTGGGTTTCTTGCCTGAGGTAAGAAGAGTCCTAATTATTAACAGTCACTAGCTTAGGGTTGACTTTCTCTAGCCACTTGTTAATAATCATTTACAAGTTTTTCCCTTGATTTGAGATAGCACTCCTTTATCTGCATATGAGAGGCACCAAGATCACAGTCACATCTTGAGAACAGAGATTGTTACTTACAAACCTAACAATGAAAGGAAAACTTATTACTGACAAAGTAAGGTAACTACTTACGTAATCTGGTAGAGGAACATCATTGGAACTCAGTGAACCTCTCAAGGACTGTGTGGCTTGTTCCAGAACTTTGTTGTGTTTTTTAGACAGCAAGGAAAACAAACTGAAAAAAACAAAAACAAAAAAAGAAAGAACTAAGTGTTTCCTTTCCTAGGTTTTATACAGTATTATAGAGTTCTGCAGAATGTCAATTATTCTAAAATATACATGTAATGATTTTTTTCTTCACGCCTGTGTTAACAGCAGGATTAATAATACTATCGATATAACAAAAAAATGAAGTGAGGAGAGTGTTTAAATTATAAGGATTCAAAAGAATGAAAAAAAAGTTTGACAGCTTAAAATTCTATTTTAAACATAGGAGAATTTTCCACTATTGTGGAAAGAACAGCGGACAGAGATTCAGACAGACTGAGATATGCAGACTTCACGAGGAACTCTGAGTGCAATCTATTACTAGTCACTTGGACTTGTATCTTAATTTCCTCATCTTTCAACTAAGTGTGTTGGATTAAATTATTTCTCTAGTATAATATAGTCAATCACTTTTTATCACAGCTTTATCTTACGTCTCAAAAAGAATGACTTTAAATATATATATTATAAGATTTCCACTTCTGGTCGTGATGGACTAACTGGTACCAAATAACCTTCCTGCTATTAACACCTTAAAAACCGGACAAAATATATGAAATGACTTTTTTTGGGGGGATGGTGTACAACACCTGCAGTGCAGGATTGGGATCCCTAGAAGAAGGGAGTACCTGCCTAGGGAAACATTCCAAACTGTGCGGCAGAATGCTGGGACCCAAGCAGTACACAGCGGCATCGTGGTGAGCTGAAAACACAAAGGGGTCAGG